TCCAAACTTCCGATTGTAAGATGAGTAATTCTGGGATGTAATATACAGCCTATAGGTAACAATACTGCATTGTATACTTGACAGTTGCTATGAGATTAGAATTTAAATGTTCTCACTGAAACAACAATGAGGGTGATTATGTGAGGTCAAGGAGAACAGAGCTGGGAGAGCAAGAAAAACTCAGTCCTCATCAGGTCCTTTGAGCATCATTAACTCAACCAGCCACTCCTGCACTTGCCGCTGGCATGAGCCGATACACTCTTGATTGGACGGGCACATGTGCACACGTGCTCAAACAGCACGAGATGGCTTTCTGTCTCTTGCAAGAGAGGGGATCAGATATCACTAAGCTTGCTTTTAGCTCTTGACACTTTATGAAGCTTTGAACAGAGCATGTGCAAAGTGTTGCCCCTTTCCAAGGGAGCCAATTACTTTAGCAAACAATTCACAAACTAAAGTCCTCTTCTCCATTTGTGACCTGGCAGTCTTCATGAGCTTGCTAAATATTATGTATATGTGTACTCTTTAGAATACATGTACAGTATGATGGCATTTCTATGAAGCTCTAGAAAATACAAAACCAACCTCCACTGAGAGAAAGGTCAGGGGTTGCTTGGGGACAGGGATGGAGCAGAGAAAAAGGGTTAAAAGAGGGGCAGAGAAAACATTTAGGGGTGATGAATATGTTTGCTCTCTTGATAGTGTTTATGGTTTCAGCAATATGTAGTATGTGAAAACTTATCAAAATGTATATTTTAAATTCATGTAGTTTTTGGTATGTCAATTATACGTCAATAAAACTGTTGAAAAAAAAGAAAATAAAAGCTTATTGACAAAATAAAAAGTAAACCTGATGTCTCCCTAGTTAACATCCTTCAGTGGTTTCCAGGTTCTCAGAGACTGCAAAAGCCAGTCTCTCTAATGTGACTTGGAGAGTCTGCATGATCTAGCCCAGGATCAGTGCAGCCCTTACCATGTCCAGCCTCTCAAACAGGGGCCCCAGACATCCTGAATTTCTTCGAATTCTTGGGTCCACTCCAAGCATTTGCATCCTTTTGCTTCTTGGAACATTCTCCCTTGCTTCACGGCCACACGCACACACACGTTTACCTGCATAATTGCTTTAGGCCTCTGCTTAGATGTCCCCTCCATGAAGCTGTCACTGACCATCTTTCCCTGCCCTCCAATGTGCATCTGTAGTACACAGGGCTTCCCACATCTCAGCATGTATCACTCTGTCTCATAAGTGCCCATTTACCTCTCTGAAGCCCTTCACCATCCTGTGAGAAATTATAAGGGCAATAAATGTGTCTGCTTGTGTATCATAGGCCCAGAGCCTTGGGCAGTGTCCAGAATATGATATGTTTGCTGAATGATTTGATAAGTCAATGGGGAAATGGATGATCCAAGAATCTCTCTCAACCACTGAACTTAAAGGAGACTCAGGCCAACTCTGTAATCAAGGGGGAGGCGGGGTAGGACAGTGGTAAGAGCTCAGGCTGCAATGGCAGGTAGATTTGGATTCGGGTGTAAGCTCTGTCACTTAATAGTTTAGCCATATGGAAGTTCCAGAACCGCATTGGGCCTCACTATCCGCCTCTGTTAAATGGAGGCAACAGTGATACCCGTCTCTTCGGGTTGTTTTGAGGATTAAATGAGATCATCTGTGTAGCTGGAGGTCCAATGCCTAGTTCAGCCCAATATATGTCAACTACGACAAAACGAAATAATACCACAGTCTGTAAGGGCAGAAGGAACTAAGCAATAGTAGAAGTCAGTCACACACATGTTTCTGGCACCCCCCAAATCTGGAAGCCAGTTTAGAGTAAGCAGCTTTCTTCATCAGCGGCGGCTCAAACTCACCGCTTTGACTTGGAGGCTTTCCGTCCAGTTGGGTGGGTCTCAGGGTGCCGAGCCATTCTGAGTTTTTGCAAAACTCTGCTGAAGTAACATCCGGAGGTGAGGAGTCCAAAGGAAGAGTCCATCAGGGAGAAGATGTCTCTCTCAACTCACATGTGGAGACTGTGGTGTGATCCCCAGACCCACAACTCCAGGACCGAAGCCCTCATCCCCCAACTTCCAGGAGTTGGCAGCCAGCACTCAGCCAGGCTCCACGTGGGAACTGGCGAGAGCCTCCTTACCCAAGTCACGCTGTCTTCCCGGGGCAGCTGCATCCAATCACTATTGGACGTGAGGTACAAACCCCACCCTAATTAGAGATGACTCCATCTGGAACTCCCTGTAGAATTGACCTCTGTTAGGGCTGCGTAGCAGTTCACCATCCCTCCACCCAATTGTGCCCCAGAGCACTTCTTGCCTGCAGTTCTCTGGCTCAGACCCTGCTCCCCTGGGAACTGGACCTGCAGTGCCCTTTATGCCCAAACAACATCTCTTGATCCACTGGACACCCCCATGCCATATACCCGCGTGCCACTGGCCAGGCAGCCATTTCAGGGCCCTGATGCCTTCTCTGAAAGCAAAAACAAAAACAAAAACAAAAACGGGGCAGCAAAGAGTGCCTTGCATCAGAAGATTAAAAGCAATTTCCCATTGCCCTTATGGATTTGACGTGTTGAGTTACATTTCAGGGCAAGTAGCATTTGGGAAAGAGGCCCTGAGTTTACTGAATGTTTGAAAAGGATATTTTGGGTGGAAATCTGGGAGATCAGGACAGAAATAACTGAACCATTCTTACCGAAATGTAAGCTCCTGAGGACAGAAATCCTTATCCGTTTCGTTCACTGCTGCGTCTCTAGCAACCAAAACAGGGTCTGGCAGATAGGAGGTGCTCGATAAATATTGAGTCAATGACTGTAGACTTTAGCAGAGGAGAGGTGGACAGGGACGGAAGACAAGCTGAAAGCAAAATGAAAAACGTAAATTACTTCAAGTTCAAGGAAGCAGTGAGGCAGTGAAGCTTGGGGGGTCAGACCCTGAGCTGTGACCACAGGCAGACCCAAGTTCAGCTCAGGCTTTGCTACTTAGAGCGCTGACAGCAGGAAAATCATTTAACTTCGCCAAGCCCGCTTCCTTACCTGTACAATGGGACTCATTTAATAAGGTGACTCTGCACATTCAATAACATGATTTAGATTAACTACCTGGTACATAGAACAATTCTCTGTTCATAAATAAAGACATACAGTGCGCGTGCGCGCGCGCGCGCGCACACACACACACACACACACACACACACACACTCCTGTAATCTCAGGGAGTCTAGGGTGGTAGTGCTTAAAATGTACCTCCAGATCCTCAGGAGGAAAGGGCATGCATGGTGCATTGTCAGCTGTAAAAGTCTCAAAACACCTTGGCTTTAAGGATGACAAAAACGATGCAAAATGTTCGGGCCAAGTAGAACCTTCGAAATAAACTTGCAAGGCTACCCCAGCCCATTAATGTGAGTCCCAACAATATTACTAATTTTATAGTCACTCGAGCAAATAAATGTTTGGAAACACCCTTTGGAGAGCCGCCTAATGTGTAAGTAATTGTTTTAATTGGCCATTTGAGATATTGCTGCTGAGGATTGAATATTCAGTGTTGACTTCGAGGAGCACAGTGGTGCCAGGCAGATTCTTTTATCTCTGTGTAAGCATTCTAACCAGAAGCCGAGGGCACCCGATTAGCTACATCTAATTACCATGGCACACGTACCACATCCACCACCGACTTCAGTCTCTGAGTGAGGACGGGGTGGAAGTGGGAAAGCTGCCAAGGACAGCCAATGGCTTCACATAAACCCGTCAATCACAGGGAGCTGTCTGCAATCAGGCAGAACGACACAAGTTTCCTTTGTGCCCTCTTTACACTTTGACAAAAAATAATCACGTCTTAATTCAGAGGTGATGTTCTGATTCCCTGGCACTGCAGTTGCTGGTTTGGACTTTGTGGTTTTCTTCCCTCCTTCATTGAATAGCAGCCATGAATCTGAATAGAACTGACCCTCACCATCCTGTTCCTCTTGGCACAGTCACTGACTTGGGTCTCCCAGGCCTAAGCCAACCAGCTCATGGCCTTCCTTTCACCACAGCGATCGGTCAGGTCTGGCCCAGTCATGGCAAAGCTAAGACTGGCCAGTGTAGCTCAGTGATTGGAGTGTCAGCCCACCACCAGCGGGTCTCCAGCACAATTCCCAGCCCTGGATGGGGCCCTGTGGGAGGCAGACAATTGATGTGCGTTCTCTCTCTGATCTGTTTCCTCCCTCTCTCTCTCTCTCTCTCTCTCTCTCTCCTCTTTCTTCTTTCCTCCTTCCCTTCCTCACTCCACTCTCTCTAGGGAGCAATAGAAAAAGTATCCTCAGGTGAAGATTAAAAAAAATAAATAACTCTTCCCTTGGATACAAATAAGAGGACAGGCCTCGATGGAGCCCTCACTATACCTCGTACAGTGCAGTGAGAGCATAAAACTGTCATTAAGCCTTTGGATCAAATATTCCTGAAATGTACATATTTCTCAGATTTCCAGGTATATAAGTTAAAAAAAATGTTTAAGTTGGATTTTCTGTTATTTACAGCCTCAAACTTCATAAATAATATATGCCCATCAGAAAAATCAAATCATATTTGACTTCCTTACATTTTGCGCCAGGGGCTCGGCCCACAATTCCCTGAAGTGGCATGCACAATAAAGGTAGGTGATCTTAAGTAAAATGATTTTCCTTCACAACTGAGGTAGAGTCCTAAATCTGCGATTTGTTTGTACATGCGCACTGCACATTCTTTTTTTCTCCCAGTTTTGAGGTATAATTAACATGTATCACTGTGTAAGTTTAAGGCATGCAGCCTGAGGGTCTGTTTGTCATATACTGGGAAGTGATGATAGCAATAGGTTCAGCTAACATCCATCAACTCATATGGTACCAAATGAAGAAAAGAAAGGGAAAAAAATCGTTCTGTGAGGAGAACTTTTAGGGGAAGCGCTTCTTTGCATTAGACATCCAAAGAGGGAACTTTGAGACAATTCATGCAATCACTTCATTCATGTCACAGACTGATTTATTCAAATGTTTATTGAGCACATACTATGTGCCAGGCACTGTGCTAAATAATGGAAGATACAGGGCGCCCTTGAGATATCTACACGAGAAGGGGAGGCCAACACCCTGCAAGGTGAGGGAAGCTGCCCAGTCATACGGCCTCAGGACATTGTAAAAGAGACTTGACTCCCAGTTCAGTGCTATTTGCCACAATAGGGAAAAACTTGCTGGAAAAGAAATAATATTAAACATGAGCCTGTGCAGGTTTAACTTCCATCAGAGAAAAGACTTTTCAAGAGGCAGCATCCAATCGGTTCAGCGAGTCTGCTTCATTAGCAGCATGCTCAGTCTGGGGAAATAAAGCTGTGTGCCAGTAGGGCCAAAAACAAAGGACCGACTCCTGGCCAGAGGGATGGTGCCGTTGTGGAGGCATGCTCAGGTTGCCATGGCAGCCAGGAGGAGGAGGGCAAAGCTGCCCTACAGGGGTGATGAGCTTTGAAGGGCACATAGGCATTAGAGAGGTGGGGGGCGAGTGGATTGTCCAGGAATGGACGGCACTTACTGTAATTAATGTGACTAAGAAGAGGACTGGCGTTTTCCCAGCAGTTTCTGACAGTGGGTACCTGACACCTGGGAGATGTGCCCAGTTTCAAACACTGAGCTCCTTTGTCTCCCCAAATTGCAGCCACTTTGAGGACCACAGATCCTATTTCAGGACATGGGATAATGAAGCCAATATTTGAACAGATCTTAAAGCACAAAATGCTGGAGTCGCTATGCGTGGTTCCAGTGGCTGCATTATTTTACCTGAAACATTTGTTCCAATCACACACCCAAACGCAGTTTTAACTTTTCCCATAAGCAACAGATCCGTGATGTTGTGATCCCATTGGTGCCGTCTCAGCTAGGCAGCTTGTGCCACACCATCAGCCCCATGTCCACTCCGATCTCCTCGGGCGTGGCTGGGCCCTTCTCGTCCTTTTATAGGACACCTGAGGCTGGCCTGGCCATCAGTGGCAGGGCAGGCAGAAGGCACTCACTCTCCCAAGAGGGCAGCTCAGAATCTCCTCCTCCTGTTCCTGCTGTGGGGGAGGGGAAGCCACCCAGCATCATGCCTCCCCTGGCCCAACACAGCTTCCAGCCACATGTTTGGTGCCTACGACCTCACCTGTTTCCATGCAGGGCTGCCCGGTCCTGGTCTCTGCCCGGTGCCCCAGGAACAGATGAGCCAGAGCAGCCATGATGTTGGCATTTCTGACTCCTTGTCTCTCGTCCTCCTGAACCGCACACGTTCTTAAAAGTTACTTATGACACCAGACGCCTCTGGAGTAAAAAAAATGAAGTTTCCCCCTCCTGCATTTCAGCTACTCTAAGACATTATGAATGGCAGCATGCATTATGATTTTATGTTCCTCTAAGAAAGAAAAATGCTGCCATTAAGTCGTAACACAATGCTTTATCACTTAGAAGTTTGTAAGGAAAAAAATTCTATATATTGAAAAAGGTTTGACTTGTGTAGACATGGGTTTTATCACAGATCACTCCTGTGAACACACGGAAAGGAAACACAAGCAAAATAAATTGGTTTAGATGTCCCGAAAACTTCTGCACAGGGTCCGGCTCTTTTGAATCATGTTTCAACATGGAGTTATAGGTGTCTGTTTTTTTCACAAAACATTAACTTCTGTCCCATAAGAGCCATGGTGTTGCGACATTTCTTCAGTTCTCTGGAATTCCCTCCAAGCTGCCGACAGACATTCATCCCCAAAGTTTTCAGCCCTGGGCAGCAAAAAACCCATCATCAATTGCAAGACCCATCTGATGTTGAGATTTTTAAAATGTGTATCTCAGAAACAAGGAAAAAAAATGGTCAGACCTGATGTGTCTCAGCACATTCCCACTGCTTTAGAACTTACCAGAAAAAGTGCAGGATCCCGAAATTTCCCTCAGCCCTTTACATGGCAAAACCCAGGGTCCGTCTCCAGATGTCTGGTTTGGCTTTTCCTGGCGGCAGGCCCACTTCAGGTAGGGGGATGACAGCTTCAGAGCCGGCCCCACAGCAGAACCTGTTGTCAAGGACTAATTTCAATTCTGCCAAACGAACGCTTGGATCCCTGGGAAGATCTGGGGGTCTCTGGGGGGTCCCCACCTGGAGCTGCGTGCAGGATCCCTGCGTGCAACAGGGTTCTTAGGCCCCAAACCCTTTTTTATAACATTTTGAGACTTCTGGAGGCAAGAGGAATTTCAGAGTGTCTATCCCTGCCATTTATTTCTAAGTTCATTACATATTGTGGTCGCAGAATGTGATAGTACTTCATCATTTCGGAGAGGGTGGTACACGGCTGGAGAAAATTTCCTGAGGCTTTCTAAGACCCAATATATGACTAATTCGGGACATGTTTCCTGGGTCCTTAAAGGTATTTCCTTTGCTTCAAGTTATATTCCAAATTTGTTTTAGGTAAAGTATATTATTTTGTTGGCCTTTGTGCCTAAGGTTTTTGATTTGGAGTATGGAAATAAGCATATGTCTATCTCTTATGGATGTTTTGACTAAGTATGTTAATACATGAAAAGAGGTTAGAATAGTGCCTGTCACACAGAAAATACTAAAAAAAAATGTTAATTGTTGCCATCACTTTGTTAATATTTATATCCTAGATTCTATACTTTAACCTAGACATTTTTCTGCCAAGGACTGAGGAAATGTGTGATCCCCCAATATTGTTGATTTCTTCTTACGTTTCCAGTAGATTTTGCTGGATATAATCTGAAATTCATGTGATTGCTATGGATCAATTCAAGAATTCTTAGTTTCACCTAATGCTTCTAGTTTGGCTCTAATTCTGATGCCATTCACTAATCTCATCACAGATAAAATGTTTCCTTCTCTATTTAAAAGGAAAATTAATTTGTCTGAGTGGGGTAGAGAGCTTGGGGGGGTGGGGTGGGGAATCTGATTTCTGTGCAATAAGCTGAAACTCACGGAAAGCATCCCTCCCACTTGTCCACCGTTGCCCGGGTCTGTCTCCTTAGCAGTTTCTGAAGGTGACAAGTAACTGAGGAAGGTGACAGCCACTCTTTCCTCAAATGTCTCTGCCTAAAAGCAGCAGCTCTGCTGCACACTCGATAGCAGAGGGAGCCGGTGGCTCAGACAGCACGGGGCCCAGAAGTGTTAACGCAGCAGCAGCAGCCATTACTCCAGGCAAAAGCACAGAACTGAGAGATGAGACCACCTTGCTGACTAAGCAGGAATATGTGTTTGGGGGGAGGCAGCCTAGGCCACTCACCTTGCCAGGAACAAAATGTGCTAACAAGCAGGAGCGGGGGGGGGGGGGGGGGGGGGGGCTTCAGGTGCTGCAGCTGTGCTGGGTGCGGCTCTGCAAAGCTGCGTCCCAGGTGCTGCCTCGATTAACCCTCATCACAGGAACCTCAAACCGGTATTTCAGATACGGAAGAGGAGGTTAGGTCCTGGCTGAGAATCACCGCAGCCGCTAGTGCGGGTCCAGGATTGCCAGGGAACTTCCTGTTTTCGCTCTACCCCTGGTGACTGGGTTGAACAAGGCCAAGGGAATGAATCCTACATGGGCAACCAAGCCGGTTTCTTTATCCCGCAGCAGGATGGGGGGTTGGGGGGGGGGGGCAAGGGGGCACGTGAAATGGACCAGGCCACAGATGAACACTGAGGACGCTCACTGACACGTGGCCTAGTGACTGGGTGTGTGTGTGGGGGGAGGGGGGGGGGAGGGGTGACACAGGAGAGTCATGGCCTCACCCTCCCAACAGTCAACAGAGACCTGAAAAATAAGAACATATGGTCTAAATAAATAAGCGATGACAACTGCAGGGGGGCATGGTGCTGAGACACTTGTACTATAGACACTAGGAACGGTGTACGAGGCCGGAGCCGACACATCTCAACATGAGCGCAGTGCAGATGTGCCCGGGTGGGATCCTGAGGGGAGGGACCTAACCCGCACTGCGGTCATGGCCCAGTTGCTCCCGTCTCCCTGGGCCTCAGGGCCTCCCCTCCCCTGCAGAGATGAGCTGGAGGCTGAGATATAAATCGCAGGTGGGCAGGGATCCCAGAGGCACCCACGTGTCCGTTTCCTCCGGCAGCCCTCGCTGAGGGCTTCATCTGGCGTTTACAAAAGGCTCAGGGTTAGGTTAGGAAAAAGGCAGTCTTAACTTCTCTGGGTGTCTACCCACCTGACCTCTGCAGCTGCTCCCCTGCCCCACCTTCAAAGGCGGAGAAGGGTTCCTGGGCCCACACCATGTGGCTCTCTGTTGCCCTTCCAGACCGCTACTCACCCCTCCTTTCTTCAAAAGCCTCCTCCTCGCAGGTTCCTTCTGTCCAGCTGTGCCCGCTTTCCCCTCCTGCCGCGGTCACTGGCCTTTTGATCACTCCTCCTGTTCCAAGAGGATGCTGGCTATGAGTTCACACTCCCTTCTCCAACAGGTCAGTTTCTTGCTTCGTTACCCACCTGGACCTTGACTTTACCTGGGACTGTTCGGCCCTCTTCTAGCTCAATGACACCTCCCCACCCCACCCCTTGTTGGGGTTCTACCTCATTGAAACCACCAATTTGCTACCACCTCTGAAGTTACCTTCTGTGTTCATGAACCTCGTACCCAGCAGCCCATCATCACTTCTGTAATCCTACTCTCCCCTTCCGATACTCTTCTGGCAAAACCCCAAGTCTTCATCAAGTGTCTTCAGGCCCGCTGACCACCCATGTGGGGGACAACATGTGCACGGGTGCACACACCCCTGACACATCTGAGAGCCTCAATTCCTACTCTAAACTGACCGCCTCACAGGTCAGCCCTGCCCTGCCTTTCTACTGTTTCTCTAATTGACTCGCTTTTCAATAGCAAGATGAATGACCACTTCATACCTTCTGAGAACATCTTCCAGCCACATCCAGCTGACGGCCTCACTTCATTTCACCAAGAGATTCAACCTCCATTATCTCACCATTAGTTTAGCCCTTCTCATCCTCCACTCTTTCCCGTCCTCTACCTCTTGAGCCCTATTAGGCTGCAGAACTGTCCCTCCTTTTTCTTGGGCTGTGCCCTTCAGTGACCCCCCCTCCTCCATCCCCACACCATCCCTCTCCACTCTCCACAGTAATTGTTCCAACCACATCCACACGCTCTACCTCACTCTGCAAACACTCCCCTGCCCCCACAGTTCTCGTTATCACACCATTTCTCCACATCCCTTTAGGACCAACTTCTCACTCTGTCCCTCCCCCACTCTCCATTCACTCAACCAACTCCAGTCTGCCTTCCACTCCCACTCCGTCCTGAAATTGCTCCCATCAAAGTTATCCAAAGCGTCATACTACTAATGCCAGTAGACAGTTCTGCCTTCATTTTACCCAAACTCTGACAGGCACTTGGCACAGCCCACTTTCTTAAAGCAGCTTCCTCTCAACTTCTGACCCTCTGTAACATGTCCTCTCCTCCCCCAAACTCTCAGGGTTGGGCTTCCTTGGGCTTCTCTTTTCTCCCCCTGGATGACCTCATCCAGCCTGACAAATTGCTCTATCTTTATGCAGATGCCCCACAGATTTGTATCTCAACATGCCCACAATGACCATGATTCTACCCCTCCCAAAAGCTTGCTATTCCCTCAATTTTCCCTTCATCTACAATTTGAATAACCTAAGACACAAACTGAAAGCCACCCTTGAACCCTCTTTTCCCTCACCGCACCCCAACCAGTCCATCAGAGGGCCGGTCAATGCCACCATCGTCTCCCTCAAATGCATCCACTTCTCTCCACCTCTACTGCCACGCTGGCCCAGATCACCACCATCTCCCATGTGAGCTGCTGTGGCAGCCTCCCATCTCACTTTTTCTCTCCCCTTTGAGTCCACTCTCCACACACTAAGCCCCACATCATGGCCTCTTGCCTGCCTCTCTAGCTTCATCTCTCCTTGCTCATCCTATAGTCTAATTACACTGGCCTTTTTCCATTTCTAGCCCATGCTCTGGTAAATTAAAGACGGCCGCAAATTCCTGCCCTCCCGATGGAGAGATGGAGTCTAATTAGCCTACCCTTGTTTTGGGATAATTTGCCAATTCTTCCTCAGGACTTTCCTCCCTGGAAAACCTTAGAATATTCTTCCCACACTCCTACCTGGCTACTTCCTTCTCACCTTTCAGCTAAAATACTCTTCGGAGAAGGCCCTTCCAGACCACCTCAAGTAAAAAATATCAAGGTAGGACCTGCATCAATCCATTATTTCCTTCTTAACACTGACAAAAACAATAGGCATCATAATTAAAATTATTAATCTTATCTTTCTCTCTAGAGCAGGGGCTGGCCACCTCCTTTTAAAAATAGTCTTGCCTGGCCAGCTTGGCTCAGCGGTTGAATGTCGATCTATGAACTAGGAGGTCAGGGCACATGCCCGGGTTGCAGGCTCGATCCCCAGTGTGGGGTGTGAAAGAGGCAGCTGATCAATGATTCTCATCATTGATGTTTTTCTCTCTCTCCTTCCTTCCTATCTGAAATAAATAAAAATATACTTAAAAATAAAGAATTTTATTGGAACACAGCCACACCTATTTATTTATGTATTGTCCATTAATACTTTTGACATGGCAGAGTTGAACAGTTGCTACAAAGACCATGTGGCCCAACAAAGCCTAAAATATTTACCATTTAGCCCCCCCGAAAGCTTCCCAGCCCCGAGGGGAGCAAGTCCTATGGCTCTCGTCTTTAGATCTCCAATTCCTCATACATATTGTCGAAAGAACAAGAGGGCCAGGAAGCCACTATAAACCCTTTACTGGGAAGCTCTTTTTATCAGAGCAGGGCTAGCTCAGGGCTGTGTCAGTTCCCTTCTGATGTCCCCAGAGTCTAAAGGGTCCCCAAAGATGAAAACCCTGAAGGAGATGCACCAGGACTTAGATGTGTCAAGTTCAAGGTCACTCCAAGGAGACCAAACCATTTCCTCACATCTTTCTGCTCAGTTTCAGAAGACAGCAGGGGGTTGGTTAGGGCCCTTTAACCTCTTTTCAGGGGTCTACTGCTCTGGCCAATTCCCAGGGAAGGATGCGGCCACTTTCAGAGGGAAAAGGGGGTCCTCTGCTTCTCTGTCCTCAACAATCGTGGGCTGGGCTAGACCCTGAAGGGCAGCCATGTATGTGTGTGGGAAGAGACCATGTAGGAGAGTGGTTCAGAAGCTCCTCCTCGGCAAGAGGATGGGATGGTGACAGCTGAGGCCCATGCATCCCACTTCCCAGTTAAACTAAACTTTGGGGGTCAGGGAGGCATCAGCTTGTGTGTGGGCGCAGACTTTACATTCAAATGTCTGGGGGCTGCCAGGCTGTGTGTGTGTGCGCAAATGTACAGGGAAGAGACAGGCACTGAGATTCGCCAGGGCCCCTGGGATGAGAGACAGCTTTTTGCCTCTGATGCCATGAGTTGCTGGGGGCCCTATGCTCAGAACATATTGCACGTACTTCTCCTTTTAATCTGTCCCCTCTCAGGCTCGGGCCCAGGGCAAGAAAACATTCCTTTCTCCTCCCTCTCTCACAAGCACAGAGGTCCTGATGGCAGAGCTGAGGCCTTACGGCCTGAGGACAGAGCCAGATTCCAGCAGTCCCAAGTCCTGGAGGGCTTCCAGCAGCTGCTCCCGTGCAGTTCCAATAAAGGTATTCTCCAGGAAGGCAGGCAGGCCGCCCACACCATCTTGCAGGGTGTACAGGGGCACCCGCACCAGGCCCAGCACCTGGGAAAGGAAAAGGACAGGCGACATTGGGCACCCAGGCAGCTCATCCTGGCCTGTCGTTCTGGATCAGACACCTCACCCCGTATCTGTCCAGCACAACCAGGCCTGGGGACTCACATCTCAATAAAGCCGGGTGGGCCTAGCTCTCTGCAGACAGGTGACCCGAGTCATGCTATCCAGCTCCAGAACCGTTAGTGGCTGCTGCCTCCAGGAGGCCTGCTTGGTCCTACACCAGTAGTTCTCAAAATGTGGCACCCAGACCAGCCATAGCAGCAGCAGTTAGGAACTTCTGAAAAATACAGATTCTCAGGTCTTCCCCTCCTGCCTCCACTGAACCAGCAATTCTGGGAGGGGGGCCAGTAAGTACTGTTTTAATAGGCCTCCCAGGTGATTCTGATAACTACCAAAGTGTGAGAACCATCCCCATGTACCATCTGTCCCCCAATCCCCTAGCCTAAGTGCCAAGGTTTCCCCACAAAGTACCGGGCCACATCTCCTATCCAGGCTTAACAGGGGCCCAGAGGGCAATGCCTGCCCATTA